ATCTAGTTACTATATTTTCTTAATTTTTGAGCAGTTCTACATTTGCTGCTTGAAGTTTCTGCTGACTCTTGCTCATACTAATTTTTCCCCATAGGTTAGTAGTTTGGGATGGTCAGAATGCTGTAAACCCTGCGTTGGGTTTTGTGTCTTTCCAGAGTGTTGCCAGGAGTGTTAGGGGCATGAATGCGAGGAATTGTTTTTTTATGATGAGTCTTGTTAGATCATGCATGTGATGGAAATTTGAACTACAAACTGAAGTGAGGAAAGGCCTGTGATTATGGAATCCCTATGGGGATTAAACTGTATGTAGAAAAAAATCAGACTGGAAAAGTAGCATGCAACTAGATTGAAAAAAATATATATCTCTCCATACGATGGGTGGTAAATAAATATAAAAGGAGATGTGTGTATATATATATATATATACACATATATATGTATATATATACACACATGCATATGTACATATATATATACATGTATATATATATATGTATGTATATAGATGTCTTTGGTAACAGCCAGAAAATAGACTTTTTTAGTCTTTAATTTTTTTAAAGATTTTTGTTATTTATTTGAGAGAGAGAGAGAAAGAGAGAGAATGCATGTGGGGGGAGGGGCAGAGGGAGAGAGGGAGAATCTCAAGCAGACTACCTGCTGAGTGCAGGGCTGGATCTCATGACCCTGAGTTCATGACCTGAACCAAAATCAAGAGTTGGATGCTTAGCCGACTGAGCCACCTAGGTACCCTGAAAATAGACTTTTTTAAGTCGGCATTTAGATGTGCAATTGGACTTGTTGATGATGGCTTGCACATATAATTTCTCATATAATATATTTGTGTCAAAAGTGATGGCTGTAGCTAGTAGTTATTTTGGAATTAATAAATCTTTTTATAAAAAGTACTTTTTTGCTTTTTTTCAGACTTATTCAGTGCTTAATAAATCTCGTTTTAGTTCCCAAAATAATTATCCTATATATTTATTTATTTTTATTTATGACAGAATAGGTAACAAAATGAGAGTAGCTATGATGTTTTTTTAGTCCTCTTTGTCCTACTTGATGCATGCCAAAGTCTCCATCTCTTCACCTTTCTTTCTTATTCCTCTGCAGGAAGCTACTCCAAAAATAGCTTCAGTAATAGATGTTCTACACATGGTCAGATTGCTGAACCATTTAGTTCTTTTTGTGAAGTTTAAGAATATGGAAAATCGTGTCTGAACAGAGTAGGACAAGCATGTTTCTCAAATGGCAAGTCACTGTTCTTTTGAAAAATAAAGAATTATAATCCTCTCGATAATCTGTAGTAATTTTATTTAAGTCTAATTATAAAGGATTATATTTTTAAAATATACAAAATCGTTTTGAATCTTCAAAGGTTGTGAATGTAATCTTAGAATTGTGTTTTGTTAAATATAATTTGAGACTATGAGCAGATTAATAACACACAAAGTACAGATATTACCTTATATGTAAATCTTTTGTTTTGTCTTCTTTTTCTCGTTTTAGGTATGTTAACATTGTTGCTTTTTTGCAATAGTTTCTCTGTCCGTGAAATAGTTACCTCCGGAAAAGATTTGTTGGGAGGATTTAACAATTGACGATTAAATTAATGTGCTGACTTTTTCTTCAAGTTATTAGGATATAGCTTACATTATCCTTAACCCTCCATTTCTCCTTTCCCCATCATTGCAAAATAATTATATTTTTTGGATAAGTAGATTGTCAAATGCTGACTCCCCAGAATATCACCGGGATAATGTGTTAATAAAGAAAAGCTGAGATTATTACTTATTGGCAAGAAGAGCACACTACCTTGACATAGTCTTAGTGATGTCTTCAAGGGGAAAGGCAGGATATTTATTTTTGAGATTTCTTGGGTCTGGTTTAAGGTGGGTCTTTCAGTGAAGGGGCTTGATTCATATTGATGAGTTTATGATATAATAGATTAGGATTGTCCGGCATAGCAAGATGAGCTTTGCAAAGTGAATATTGGATCATGGTATTAAATCATGAGATGTCATCCTAGGATTTCTCTTTGTCTCCCTCCCATGGTGAATCCCCTTCCTGGATCTTAGGTATCTCCGTCTTTGGTTTCCTCTCTCATATTAGAGGAGTCATTTTCTAGTGGCTTTCAATGGTCTTTTTGGTTTTTTTTTTCCTGTAAATAACTGACAGATAATTGATATGATAAATGTTTTCTTTTTGTGTATTGTAATGCTAGAAATTCATTACAATGTATATCTCAAAATTGCTAGCAAGATTAAAGTTGTAATTTTCTTATAGAAATCAAATTTGGAACAACAAAAATGATTGTGTGATTATGGGTATTTTGCTTTTTAAAGTTCTGGAAGGGCTGTCTACTTAACTGGTTATAGGGATATATGTAGTTAAATTCTGAGTTTTGGTTTTCCAATTTGTTGTAAATATTTGATGAGGGGCTCTAGCTCATGACCCTGAGATCATGACCTGAGCCAAAATCAAGAGTTGGACGCTTAACTGACTGAGCCATCCAGGTGCCCCTGTTGTAAATATTTTTTATAGCTCTATTCTTTAATGACGGCTAATGATTTTGAAAATTTGATAAAGACTTCTGGTAATATTTCATAAATGAAGATAAATACAAAACATTATAATTTAATCAAATAAACTTTAAAAAACTGTTTCTCACAAATTATAGACTGATGTAATTTGAGTTTATATTCCAATAGCAAAAACTTAGGTCTTGAAAGGTGTCTGTAGTCTCTGAAGGTGGTAGGCTGGAGCTGAGAGAGGCAAATGTATTTTTTTTTTAAGGTGCCTTGATTTAAAGGAGATCCTGGCTACTGTTTCTCACCTTCTCCCAGTCAGATGTCAACAAACAATGCTTGTGCCCAGAAATATCTCAGGTAGATTTCAGGAAGAATTTGGGAGAAAAAAACTTGAGAGTACAGAGAGGGCTTTCAGTTTGGCTATGACCCATATTTTCAGAGACCAGATAGGAAGCAAGCCACCATTTCTTTGGAAAGTAGAGCCCTGGAACAAAACGAGACTTACCACTGGTCCATTACTCCTCCACCCCACTTCCCTATCATTTCTGGCAATATCAGAGAGAGGAAGCTGTAAAGATGATTCAAGAAGTTGGCCAACATATAGAGCTTATCACCCACTGTGGGGAATTTGGCTGCCTTCCTATTTTCCTCAGACTTATTCCTTGGCCATGGTTGAAAAACTCTAAAAACCTCTTATTCACATCTATGGAACAGGCTTTTCAGGGGTGGACCTGAGAATGGTAGTGCCAAATGAATGGTACACATAGTCCATGTTCTGATCACTGGCAGTTATATTTGTTTTACACTGTTTAGGGTCTGTAGGGTTGAGAAAGTGTTAGAGAATGGTGCACAGGGAAACTCGGTGGGAGAAATGTCTTAAGCCAGATTCATTTCTCCTATGCCCTCTCAAAAACCAGTGAGATATGGCTGTGCTACAATTCCATCACTTTTATATTTTCTTTGTATAACAAGCTTTCAAAAATAAATAAGTGAGGCATTTTTGGAAAAGCTAGGCTTGGCTGTCATTTTAATGCACTTGCCTTATTTCTTACTGGGGTCTTGGAAATGGTAGTTTTAAAAGGGAGGAAGGAAAAGAGGGAGGAATAAAGATAATGACTTACAGAAACAGTAAAACAAGTTTTGATTTGGGTTTAAATATTGGGCACAATAATATGTAAAATACATATATTAGCATTATTCCAACTCATATAACTAGGAATTATTGTGATATTGCCCTTAAAAATGAAAAACATTTCTTATACACCTGAAACTAATATAACACTGTATGTTAATTATGCTTCAAAAAAGAATCAGTCCTAGACAATAAAAACAAAAAACAAAATGAGAGAGAAATGTCTCCTGAATTTTCATACTTCATATTAACAGCAGATATTTTAGTTGGGTCATAATCCAGCAAATTAAAGTGAGTCTTGAAAAAAAAATTTTTAATGAAAAAAAAGAGAGAAAAACATTTTATACGGGAAGTGCCAGTGTGTAGAATTTTAGCAGAAGTCAGGATAACAAATCTTCTCCTGTCTTTGGCCTCTAAGGCAGTATGTAATGCTGGGTCACCTTTCCACCCCACTCCCACCCTACCTCTGCAACAGCCTCAACTGTTCATTTCTCATGTGCATAATGAGGTTGTAGACTAGGTAATCACTAAGCTTCTTAAGGTTCTATTACTCCAGTGTATGTCAGACTTTTAAGAAGTCTGTGTCTTTTCATTTAATGAAGTTAGGTAGCTGTGTATTTATTTTGTGATTTTTTTAAAAAAATCATTTGAGCCAAAACATCTCAATATTTGCTAAGGATAAAACTACATTTAAACAGCCGTGGTTTCCTTTGGGATGCTGTACCTAAACAGAACAGGGGTGATTTCTAATTGTAAGAATGTCTGATGTTTGCTTAGATTGGAAATTGCCCTTCCGTGACACTCATTGTGATCTGCTTTTCGTTTTATGGGGGAATTGTCAGCATATTGGTTCATTTATAACTGGGTGGTGTGTTTCCAAGGGTTTGAGAATAGTGAGGGAAATTGCTTTGAAATTCTCAGCACTGTTCTGAAGGCTAATTGCATAAATTTAAAATTTTAAAACATTTGAGCAGCTTCCTTTTAAAAGTGATTTTTAACCAATGTTTGATCCTACTGTATTTGTGCTACAGTTGAAGTGCTGAAGTAGCATTTTGGCTTCTTTCCCAAAAGCATGCTTGAAGAGGCTAGCAGCATCTCTCCCTGTTCTCAGTGCCTTTTACCTTGGGAGTGGTGCAGCTTTGCTCTGCAGATGAACTGCCGCCCTCGCATTTAATCTGCAGTGGAGAAGAATGGAGCTCAACGTCTGGTAGAAAACAGCGCTCTAGCAAGGTTGCCGGAAACAGAAGTGAATATGTATTGCAACAGCTGAGCAAGAAGACTTGTATGATAGTTTTTTTCTTTCAGCTGATAAATTTTTGCTTTCTGTTTCCTTCTAGAGAGATGTGGACAATTTGCCCTGCCTCCAACGTCTGTTTCTCAGCTTCAACAATATCTCTACGTAAGTGGAAACTCCCAGTTTGTCATTTATTAATAACCTGGCTGTGTGGGTTCTGGTGCTTTAAATGAGGACTGTAAGTACCTTGGAAAATCTTACTGTCATGTGAGATTTTAAATTTGAAAATGATAGGGCCAAATGACAAAGTTCTTCGTGCAAAAACAAAGCTCTGGTGCGGATCAGAGACTCTAAGGCTAAAATGATGACATTATAGCATGTGCTTTTTATTTAAGTATACTTTAGGGTTGCTCTTTTGCAAAATGTGTATGTGGAAATGTCAACATATACTTTGCTGTCCTTTGTTTGACACTTACTGCACCAGTCAGTTGAATTAGAATTTCTTCCATAAATTATCATCTACAATCTGTGTAGCTACTAAGCAATTTTGATATAGCGGGCTATATTTGTCGCTGAGCCTTTTGCTAATTGGGCCATAACTTTTAACTTGCTATCCCTACTTAGAACTATTGCTGCTAAGAAACAGTATATCAGAGTATATAAATGCATACATTTTGTTTTCCAAAGAGCTGAAGTGTATCATCCTTTACATTGTGATGCTGTCTCATTCAGTGTCAATGTGGAAGATTTCAGCACTGGAGCTGAGACAGGCATTCAGGCTTTTCGAAGCAAAAGGATCTCTACTGCTTCCCTCATTCTTTCCTTCTCCTCTTTCCCCCAGCCACTCAGTTTGAACTATGCTTTGTAACTGCCCCCTCTGTTCTTTAGTTTAACTTCAAGGCTGTACTTGGCACCAGCTTTTTTAAGAAGGTAAGAACAAAGTATAAAACAGTTCAGAAAACATCTCTTCTTGAGCTCAAAGTCTCTGCTTCTGAAGATTAAGAACCAGTGTAGGGGCACCTGGCTGGCTCAGTCAGTAGAGCATGTGACTCTCGATCTCAAGGTCATGAGTTCAGGTCCCACATTGGGCGTAGAGTTTACTTAAAATAAATAAATAAACCTTAAAAAAAAAAAAGAACCAGTTTCGTTTTCGTGCATTTTTTTTGTTTGTGTATTTTTCCTCCCCTATCAGACCTAAGTGTTAACTCCATATCTCTGTGCTATCTCTAAAAGTTAGAGATTAAATCCAGGTAGTGAACTTTGCATATAGGCATTATTTCAAAGAAAATACTCTTACTCTGTCTCTCTTCTCCTCTGTGGGAAAAAGTATTGAAGTTTTCTGTAAGACTTTTCATATTCTTTTCAGTTTATGCTGAGTGCTGTTCCAGTGGTCTTTCCATCTGCTGGGGAGGTGGGATTTCTGACAATGGCAGTGGAAGGGACACTTAATTTTCTTTAGGGAATTTCTTCCTAAAGACCATTAGCAACTATTTTGAGAAGATAGTTTCTCATTCTCACAACATTTGCTGTTTAAGGTGCTGGAAACCCTTAGATTCCCCCAACTTATGGTGGAATGCATTACTTTTGATTCTTGCCTTGATTGTGGGGAGTATTTAAAGAGAGATACAAGTTTGGATGTATAGGGGCTATGATGTTCCCAGGTCCCCAGGATACTCGAGCTTCTGAACTTCTGGTTCTGTATAGAGTTGGTTTGAATTGCTTATATATAGGGAATTTTCTTCCCAACCTGGGAAGGAATTTTACCACCCAGAAAAATAAAGATATGATTAATGGGATTACTATTGATAACTTTCTTTTTTAAAAAACATTTTTAGTTTTATTTCAGCCATGGTAGGTTTTCCATGAGCTGTGAAAAGTTATGCTACTTGATAATAAACCTGTCAGTTCGATATACTACTTTGTAAGTTGGACCTCTGATTTTCATATGCCCCAAATCAATGATCTTTTGTGCCTTAAAGAGATAAATTACCAGAGGAAAGTTGTATCTGTCACATATATAATATATCCTTTGGTCATTGTCGCATTGTCATTAAGGAATATTTGCTTTGTAGGGGCAATTAAAGGTAATCAGTGTCATATGCTTCACTGTCCTCCTCCCTCTCTTATAACTTTCTTTAAAAAGCATGATTTCCCAAGAAATTGGGATAGTGGTGAATCAACAGTTTTAGTGGTTTCATTTTCTTACTAATTGTTTTCTCTGTGTTGCTACATAGGCTTAGCCCTTTACCTTATTACCTGCTTTTGAGGCTCAGTACATTTTCTCTTCTGTTCCTGTAGACATGTGTGGTCCAGGAGATGGTATATAGATTAGATTTGATCTGCTGGGGGGAAAAATTGGGGAGTGCAAGCCTTGTAAACATTTCTGTTAGCTTTACTCAAGACACGAACATCTCAGCTGGGCATCAGGTGACTTGTAGTGATAACTACAGTATCTTTTCAGGGCCTCTGTGTCCTGCTATAGTCCTGGCCTAGTGGAGTTGTCTGGTTTTACAGTTTAGTGGCCCAGGAGTGACAGAGGTCAAGAAGAGTAGAAATAGCAGCATAAAGCTGAAAGTACCTTTTAGGACTCCCTCTGGGAAACTCACAGATACTATTCAGCCAATGAAAACATCCAATTAACTGTATATCCATTTCAGGGAGACAATTATGTATTGACTGTTATATAGTAGGGCTTACTAGTTTTTGACCAAATTGTTGGATTCTTAGGGGGCCATTTGCATAAACTATTAGGTACCTGGTGGAAATTCGGAAAGTTTCAAAATGTGATGGCACCCTATTGAATACAGAGAATTCCAACATGGGTTAAATAGGTACCTATATTTATTTATTAAAAATTTTTTTTTTTCTTTTAAGATTTTATTTATTTATTTGACAGAGAGAGACACAGCCAGAGAGGGAACACAAGCAGGGGGAGTGGGAGAGGGAGAAGCAGGCTTCCCACGGAGCAGGGAGCCCAATGTGGGGCTCGATCCCAGGACCCTGGGATCATGACCTGAGCTGAAGGCAGATGCTTAATGACTGAGCCACCCAGGCGCCCCTAGGTACCTATATTTAATGTCATGTGTACAGAACCCCTTTTGTATGTTTTTCTGCAGCTATTAGAACACTGCATTTAGCACCACCAGTAGGCATGCAAGATGCGTTTAGAGAACGAATGACATGTATCTATGTTTATGTAGCTGAATAGAATCAGTGCTTCTGAGGTTAAAATATCTCTCAAACCTGAGGAAGGCAGAGACACAAATAGGTAATTATTATACAGTGAATTAAACTTAGTTGTAGTGATCTGTGGGGATATTAGAAAATGTAAATCAGCCTGAGGAAGGGAAGCAAAGGAAGCCTTCCCAGAGGGAAATGATACCTGGACCCAGTGCTAAGGGAAGAGTAGGCCTTAGTGGAGCAAAGGGTACTTGGACATTTCTGGTGGAGGACACAAGCTGGGCAGAGTTGATGCAGAAGGCTCAGGGCGAACTCACTAGGTTTACCCTCTCTGGACTTGCAGTGAGGTCCTTGCTCTCCCTTTCTCCCTCCCCGCCCGGGGCCTTCTCCAGACCACAGAACACAGGAGGGACCTGCCAAAGTAGGTTTTATGATGATCACCCTGAGAGTAATATTCTGTGGTTAATCAAGGGGATCCGTTATATCTAATTCATTCTTCAGACATGGTCATTCCATTATTCACCTCTTCTTCTGAGGTACTGTTTGGTTGATTTGTTTTGTTTTTCTTTGCTCTTGTGATCTTAATTTCCAAGTAGTCTAATTGCATTTTTTTTCTAATGGCTTATTCTTAGTTTATGGATGAGAGAAAGTTTTCTTTGATTTCTAGAATTTACTTTTTTCCCCTCAGAGTTAATCCTGTATTTGCTTTCCAAACAAAACCAAACAAAAATGCTCTTTCTTTTTTTTTGTTTCTTTATTTCTTTGATTTTTGGATGGCAGTTCATATTTACAAATGAGAGTCTGGATGGATTTGTTTTGTCAGCAATGGTTAAAAAAAATCACTGTAAATGCAAATTGAGTATAGGATCTTTGCAGAGGACATAGGGTAGGCAGGAGGGAAGATAACAACCCAGTTGGACTTTCCTTTATGATGTGCACAAGAAACTTGCCTTCTGGAAATGGAGGCTCCTTTTTCATCTTGGCCACCAGAATTTACCCAGAGCACTGCCTTTCCTCTCTCATCATTTTCAACCTTCAGACGATTCACAAGGCACGACTCTGAGAGTGAGATGCTGGAAAACTGTTACTGAAGCCTTCAATAATTCCCGGACAACTGGCCCACATCCATTGTCAACTTTTGCTGCCTCTGATGCAGGGAATATTCTAAGATTCTGCTGGCAACACTTACAATGTAAATGATCCTGTTCATTTCAGGATTTTAGCAATTTGGGGTTTTACTGATCCCATCTGCTTTATATCTTCCAGAAATTCCTTAGTGTTCTGGTCTGCTGATGGAACTCTTCCTGGTTTTCTAGTACTGCTATGGATATTTTCATGCTTTTATGTTCATTCATTTCAAAGAGATTTTGAGAGGGTGGAGAGAGGTAAGTGCGTGTGCTCAGGCAGCCATTCTCATAACTGTCTTTTCTTTGAGTGATTTTCCCCAAATAGGCTATGCATAAAAATATCCTTGGAAGCTTTAAAAATACATAGTCACTGGTTCACTGCTGGGTAATCTGCTGCAGCAGATTTGGAGTGGAGCCAGGGATCTGTAATTTTTTTTTTTTTTAAGATCTATTTATTTATTTATAGAGAGAGAGACAGCGAGAGAAGGAACACAAGCAGGGGGAGTGGGAAAAGGAGAAGCAGGCTTCCCACTGAGCAGGGAGCCCGATGCGGGGCTCGATCCCAGGACCCTGGGATCATGACCTGAGCTGAAGGCAGACGCTTAATGACTGAGCCACCCGGGCGCCCCGGGATCTGTAATTTTTTAAGGCTTCTCAGAGTATCCTGATGTGCAACTCAGTGCTAGATTTGGGAACCAGTGCGTTATGGCGCCCCAAAATGAGAATATGTGTTAACATAGGCATCACACAAAATTTCCCTTCACGAGGAAAAGCTTTATAAACAAAAATATTTGTCAAGGATAAAGTAAAGATTTGTGACCCTCAGGAGGTAGTTTATGATCTTTAGCCCAAAACTGT